CCCCGCTCCGCTCCCGCGCCGCGGCCGGGCCGCCGTTTCGCCGCGCGCGCGCGCGCGCTCTCCCCCGCACGCCCCCTCCCTCCTCCTCCCCCTCCCTCTGCCATCCCTCCCCCGCTCGCCGCCGCCGTTACGGCCCCGGCAGCGCGCGCTGGGTGAGATGGCGCCGCCGCGGGCGCGCCCGCCGCCAGCAGCCCCGGCGCCGCCGCGCGCCTGCCTCCCGCGGGCGAGGGGAGGGCCAGCGGGAGCGGGGGGGAGGAGGAGGAGGAGGAGGAGGAGGAGGAGGAGGACGACGCGTCCAGCGGCGGATGCGCATGCTGGGGCGCGCGGGTCCCGCGCGGCGGCCGCCGCAACAAAGGGGCGCGCGGCCGCGTCCAGGCGGCGGGAGCCGCGGGAGAGCAGTTGGAGCGGGGAGGGCGAGAGGGAGGCACGGACGGACGGACGGACGGACGGACGGACGGACAGACAGAAGGAGGGAGCGGGGCGCCGTCCCCGCGCAGCCCCGTGAGGCGGCGCGGCGGGAGCGCCGGGCTCGCTCCAGAGAGCGGCCGCCTGGCGCTCGCGGGCGCCCCCGACGCCGGGCCGGGAGCGCGGGCGGCGCGGCAGGAGCCGGGCTGGTCCCCGCCGGGAGCCCGCCCGCGCCGCGGGTGCGTGGAGCGGGCGTGCGCCTCCGCGGTCGCGGGCACGGCGGCCGCGAGAGCCGGCGCGGGGCGGCAGCGAGCGCGTCCCGAGCAGTCTCAGCCCCGAAAACGCCTCCCTGCGGCCCTTGCGGAGGTAGCGGCCGTGTAAAAAGTGTGTGGAGGAATAAGTCTGAATTGCCCAGAGGAATAAGTAACCGGAGCTTTCTTAAATCGGAGCTGGAAAGGCTCTGGGCAAGTGTCTGACCCGCTCCATTCGGCAAAGGACTAACTTAGTTCTTTGCCAGGTTCACCCCTGTGTACTCTGCAGCCCTGTTTTCAGCCAATTACTTCTATAATTAGTTCTCTCTTAGTGTCGACAGAATTGCAGCAAAACTGAATACTGTTTAACAGGACGGTGCAATTTCTGCTAGATTATTAGCAGCGATCTCACTGTTTGTTTAAAAATAAAGCATTTTCCCCATCTTGAAAAGAGCTCTAAAAGGATCCCGTTGAAATAGTTGTTTGTCCTGCCATCTTCAGTGCTGGACTGATACATTTTCCTGGGCCAGCAGAACCAGATAGCCCGTAAATACATACAATATTGCTTTCCCGGTTTTGTTTCCTTTTGTATATTTCAAGTATTTACAGACTTACTATCTGGCTATCTTAAAGTTTTGTTATATAGGACTAAGAAGAATTTTGGCTGTCCTTTTTTTTGCCTTTATTTATTTTTTTTTTAATTTTTCTGTGTAGCCAGAAACACTTTAGTGGAGGTGCCAGGAACGGAGAGGTATTTGTAGGGAGCCAGGTGTTCCCATACCATGTGAAACATACAGCACCAAGAATTGCAAACCTACCATCATTCCTGTCATCTGCTTCTGCTTTATATATGGTTTAGGATAAATTAGAATTTAGGGAAGAAATTCCCAGGAGATCTGTGCCAGGCAGCACAGGATTTGTTCCAAACCAAGTATTAAATTTCCCTCCTCTCTGCTGTATTTCCTGCTTTGGCACTATGTTTTAACAATGTATTTTATCTAATTTTAAATAATTGAAAATGCTCTCTTTTAACACTCAAAATAATTTTTGGAATAGATATTATCACATCTTGAAATGTTATTATCTTCCCATCTTTCAGGCTGAAGGTGGCCCATTCTGAGATTAATTTAATAATCATTTGCTTAGAAAACTACCTGCATTGTTCATGGTAAGGCTTATATTTGATATTTCAAATTTAGTTTGTCGTGCTGACTTATTTAGTGTATTTCTTACACATTTAAAGTGTTAACATTTCCTTTAGCTATAATAATGACTTATGAGTTGGGTCATGCATTTACTCGGAATTGCAGTTTAAAAGAAAAAGTTTTCAATTTTGTGTAACTGAATGAATAAAGATTTGAATAATTGTAAATTGTGTAACCTAAGAAAACCTTTATGCATTCACAATTTTAAAATCAGTTTCAGAGTAATGCTTTTAGAGTCTAACAGGCTTTTTGTGGTCATTTTATGTAAAAAAAAAGGTTGGGTTTTTCTTAAATGATGGAAATTAATTCATCTCTTGGGATTTTGTGACTTAGACTGCTTTATAAAAGTTACAGAATTTTCCTGTTAATTTACAGGAGTTTTTCATCAGTATGTCTGAAACCATTAAGTATAATGACGACGATCACAAAACTGTGTTCCTGAAAACACTGAATGAACAACGTTTGGAAGGAGAATTTTGTGACATCGCTATTGTGGTTGAAGATGTTAAGTTCAGAGCCCACAGGTGTGTGCTTGCTGCCTGCAGTACCTACTTCAAAAAGCTTTTCAAGAAACTTGAAGTTGATAGCTCATCAGTAATAGAAATAGATTTTCTTCGTTCTGATATTTTTGAGGAAGTTCTCAATTATATGTATACTGCAAAGATTTCTGTTAAAAAGGAGGATGTAAACTTGATGATGTCTTCAGGACAGATCCTTGGTATTCGGTTTCTTGATAAACTCTGCTCTCAAAAACGTGATGTATCTAGTCCTGAGGAAAACACACAGTCCAAGAGCAAGTACTGTCTAAAAATGAACCGTTCTATGGGGGAACCCAATGATACCCAAGATGATGAGGTGGAAGAGATCGGAGATCATGATGACAGTCCATCAGATGTGACAGTGGAAGGTACTCCCCCAAGTCAGGAAGATGGTAAATCACCAACCACTACCCTGAGAGTGCAAGAGGCAATTCTGAAAGAGTTGGGAAGTGAAGAAGTTAGAAAAGTAAACTGTTATGGCCAAGAAGTAGAGCCTATGGAAACAACGGAATCTAAAGACTTAGGATCTCAGACGCCTCAGGCACTCACATTTAATGATGGCATAAATGAAGTGAAAGATGAACAGACGCCAGGATGGACCACAGCAGCCGGGGACATGAAGTTTGAGTACTTGCTTTATGGTCACAGGGAACACATTGTATGTCAGGCTTGTGGCAAGACCTTTTCTGATGAAGCGCGTTTGAGAAAACATGAAAAACTACACACTGCAGACAGACCATTTGTTTGTGAAATGTGTACAAAGGGCTTTACCACGCAAGCTCATTTGAAAGAACACTTGAAAATACACACGGGTTACAAGCCTTACAGTTGTGAGGTGTGTGGGAAGTCTTTTATTCGGGCACCAGATCTAAAAAAACATGAAAGAGTTCACAGTAATGAGAGGCCATTTGCATGCCATATGTGTGATAAAGCTTTCAAGCACAAGTCCCACCTCAAAGACCATGAAAGAAGGCACCGAGGAGAGAAACCTTTTGTCTGCAGTTCCTGCACTAAAGCATTTGCTAAGGCATCTGACCTAAAAAGGCATGAGAACAATATGCACAGTGAAAGAAAGCAAGTTACAGCAGCCAATTCCATCCAGAGTGAAACAGAACAGTTGCAGGCAGCAGCCATGGCTGCTGAAGCAGAGCAGCAGTTAGAAACTATAGCCTGTAGTTAAAAACTAAAGCAGGAATTTTATCAGAATAATATAAGAAATTAAATGAGCAAAACCTGTTGTTGATATACATTTAGACTGAGAATCTTTTAAAGAAAGCATATTTTTAGAGGATTTGAATGTTACATAGGGATAAATACATAGCTTCGCTTGGTTAGGTATTTTAAAACATTTCAGAGATGGGTATTCTTAGAATGTGAAACAGTTTCATTGTCACTAGCAGTATAATGCACTAATAACTGCTTTAATTCGAGAATGTGATCAAGTTTTCTGCGCCTGGCTCTCAGCAGCCACGGGGTGGAGGTTCACTGTCCCACAAGTGGCCGGAGGGCAGACACTTGTGTGGCTGTCCCCGAGTCTCTGCCGAAACTGTTGCGGGTGGTGGTGATTGCTGCGGCGTGGGGAGCACAGTAGAAGCACAGAGCACGAGGAAACCGAGGCAAAGGAATAAGGGAAGAACACTTGTCTGAATCTCCAAATCTTTAATGACGAAGTTGGGGCAGAACAAGTGAGCTGAATCTGAATCTGAACAGGCTACTTTTATAGGGTAGAGGGAACATGGGGAGGGCACAACCTGTGACCAATAGGAGGGCATTAGGGGAGGGGTGCAGGGTAAGGGCTCCCCACTAGAAGCCAACATGGGGACGGAGCAAACTTTACAACCCAATTCTGCTTTGAGGAAGGGATGAGAGACAGGGAACTCTCCAGAACCAAAGCAGTGTGCTATCTTTGACAGACAGGGGTGAGACGAGAGAACAAGGGAGGTATACAGGTGGCTTGACATACATTTTGTCGGGGAAAACTGTGGTAAACAACTCAGGACTGAACCTGAGGAAGCCAAATGGGGTACAAGCACTGAACCATTACGAACTTACAACAAGGAATATTAAAACATACTACAGAAGAACCAGCTGTGAAATAACAGACTACCACATCTACCTGTTTTTTGTTTTATAAAGTTGAAAAACAGCTGAGGAGAGGTACCAACTCCACCCTGGAACTGAGTTCTTTAAACCAATGTGCTTTCAGGGGCACCTTCTTCCCACTACTTTTGGTCTGTAGTGGTAGCAGCTACCACAGTCTTTGAAGAAGATGGGTTTGCTGTGGCAGTGGGAATAACTTGTTTTAAGATTCCAAAAACTATTGAGACTAGAAATATAGCAACTATAAAGCAACTAATGTCTTTTGCAGCAGAAAGCATCCAGACTGACAGGCCCCAGTTCTTGAATCTTCATAGCTGGTCAGGTGGTTGTCTAGGAAAAATGACAACACAACTATGAAATACAGGCAACCAAACACCACGTGGTGGGAAAAAGGGTCAGGGTTTTCATCCTCCCTTGCAACGCTTTCAGTCTGATGCAACTGCATAATTGGCGGGGTTCTTTTGGGGATTTAAAGGGACAATTTCCAACTCAGTTTCCTCTCTTGTGGAAGTGTATGGTTTCACCCACTTCTTGGGCATCCACTTTACTTCTGAGAATGTGGACAGACATGTGTATCCATGGCCCCATGTCACTAATTTAAAGGGACCCTGGATGTCTTTAGAGTCTGGATCTCTCACCATAGCAGGAGGTCTTTCCTTGACTGGCAGTTGTTGGTAATGGTAAAAATGCCTCAGGACTGGTGGGTTTGGGTTGTCAAAGGAGCAGTTAAGAAAGTTGATAGTAAACAAAGCTTTGTACAATCTGTGCTGCGGTGACAAGACCTGGAAATCTCCTCTCTGGTGGGTTGTATTGTGTTTTTACATTTCTGTAACAGTTCTGTAATGGTTTGCCCTTCCACCCCCATTTTCTCCCAATGGTTCCACCCCGAGTTTTCCCGTTGTTCCCTCAGTGCCAATCTCCCTGAAAATGCTTAGTCACTTCCCCCTCCCCTCTCTGGTACCCACTCGGCTCCCCATCCCATTCTTCCTGAATTTTCTACCCTGGGCGTTGAGGGATTGGATGAGGGTCCGAGTTCCCTCCCTTAAGTTTCCCCATTGGTTTTTGTATCTGTCTATCCTTTCACCTTCCCCTCCCCCACATCCCCATATTGGCCAATGGGCATTCCCTTCCCCTGGTTTTTAAGATGTTGCACCGCGGTATTTAAGATGTTGCAGAAGCCTCGAGGCCACTTTTGGCTGCTGGATTCTCTGTAGCTCCGAGCTCCCCAGAGCCTGGATTAAAACCGAAACTGTTTTCTTTGCCTTAAGTCAACTCCCTTATTATCTGCTCAGATGCCCCTTTCCTCCAAACAAGGCAGATAGTGTAACTTTCTGCCTTAGCCGCTCCCCAACTCTCCTGGAGAACCAGGGGAGTGACCCCCACACCTGACTGTGCCTCTGCAGGGCAGCAGAAGCCAGGGGGCTTCAGATCAGCAGAGCGGCAGCAGGTGAGGACTTTTTTGAGCATTTGATGGGTCCTCTCACAGCTTGGCTGGTGGGGGAGTGTGGTCCGATGTTGAACTCCCCATTCCTGCAAAAACTCGCCGAACCTCTTGGATGTATAGCCTGGGCCATTATCTATTTTGATGGTTTTGGAGACTCCCAAGGTTTCAAAGGCCTGCACAAAATGTTTCTGTGCATCTGAGACCTTTTCCCCTGCATGGGCCGAGACAAAAACTCTTCCCAAGAAGGTGTCCACTGATACATGTATGTATTTCAGCCGCCTGAATTCAGGCACATGGGTCATGTCAGTTTGCCAGACCTCACAACTGGGGAGTCCTCTTGGGTTTACTCCTGAACCCATTGATGGTAAGGAGGACTCCTGACAGTTTGGGCATGTGACCACAATCACCTTGGCCTGATCATGCCTCAGGTAGAATTGGTGGATCAGACCAGGAACGTTTTGATAGAATTGCTGATGGCTAAGCTTGGCCTGTTGGAAGATGTTAGGTTGGCTGGCCAGCTGCAAAGAGGCAGCTAGGGCGTCTGCTAGATGTTCTCTTCGTCTGCTAGATTGTTCTCTTCACTGATGAACCCAGGGAGGTCAGTGTGTGACCTCACATGCGTCACAAAAAAGGATTGCTCTTGGTGGGAAACTAGATATACAAGCTTTGAGAGCAAGCCAAAGATGACTGGATTGGAGACTTCCTTCAAGACTGCATGTTCTACTCTGGACACTACTCCTGCTGTGTAAGCTGAATCGGTCGCAATATTAATTGGTACTGGGAATTTCTTAAAGACCCTTATGACTGCATCCAACTCAGCAACTTGAGGAGAGCCCTCTACAGTTTTAACATCGGCTTCCCACTGCTGAGTTTGAGGATTTTTCCAGGTCATCACTGACTTGTGGGACACTCTGGACCCATCAGTAAAGACTGTCAAGGCCTTTAATGGGTGTCTACTTTGGATTTCTTTTGGAATCAAATTAAACTTGATGTTAAACAATTTGTGAGCTGAGTGATGGAAAGAAATTTGCCCTGGATAACTGTCCAGAGCAAACTGCAAATTCTCGTTTTTGTGGAGCAAGTGCTTCAAGGTCTCCTTGGTTAGTTTCCCAGTTGATATTTTGATGGGGACATGGATACATGTGAAGTTGTACCCTGCCAACAGTTGCAGACGGACTTTAGCCTTTATGATCAACTGAACCATCAGCTCTAGTGGCTGCATAATGCTTTTGGACAACTGATGACTGAGGAACACCCACTCTGTGATTAGGAGGGGGTCCTTCTGGTCCGTGTCCCATTGAAAAATGAGCCTGTGAAGGTGTGGTAACTTACCTAAGATAATGTGGCAGAAGGGAAGGCCCTCACACCAACAGTGGGCTTGCCAGCCTGCCAGTGTGGATTGCACCTTCTCGGAGCACTGTCCTCGCCTCCTGGGTCAAGGCCCTCAGAGAATCTAACCCCTCTCCCCACCTCAACAAGTTGAAGAGGGGAGACATATCCTCCATGGTGAGCCCCAGTCAGGGCCTGATCTAGTTCAAAGACCCACACAACTGTTGGAGGTCCTGCAGGGTTTTTGCATTGTCATTTATGAAAACCCTCTGGAGCTTGATGGTCTGGTTGAAAATTTCAAGCCCTAGATACTTCCAAGGCAACAGCTTCTTCTCCCTTTGCAACTCCAATCCATCTGTTGCCAAGGCAGTGATAGTGTCCTCAAGCACTCCTGCAAGCACATGGTCATTGGGGGCACAAACAAGAACATCGTCCATATAGTGATATATGATGCAATCTCGCTCTAGCATGCACTGGGGACAGGACTCTGGCGACATACCACTGGCAAATGGTGGGAGAACATTTGAGGCTCTGAGGCAATACTCTCCAGTGGTAGCACTTCATGAGAGCTTCTCTATTGATGGAGGGCACAGAGAAAGCAAAGTGAGGAGCATCGGCTGGGTGAAGCCATCTTTTATATTGATGACAGCCAATGATCACTTTTGGGGGAGCATTGAAAAGGACGGCATCCCTAGTTGGAGAGACACCATGTTCTCGATTACATCATTGATTTTTCTCAAATCATGGAGGAGACACCATTTATCCCTCCCTGGCTTTTTGATGACAAAGACAGGGAAGTTCCATGGGCTATTGGCTTCAATTATGTGACCCTTGGCCAACTCCTCCTCAACAATCTGAGTGAGCACACTTAATTTCTGTTTGTTCAGTGGCCACCATTCTACCCACACTGGTGTATCTGTCAACCAATTTAGTTTCTGGGCAGGGTGCTCCTCAGTGACTGCCACTAAAAATCCTGAGTGTCTGGAAGTTCCAATTTTCCCCCCCATTGAGACATGGCATCTCTCCCCCATAGGGTGAACTTGGAATTCAACACAATGGGTGTATGGAGCCCAATTGCCCATTCAGTCCCTCAATTTGTACAATGCTACTGGATCTTTTAGCTAATTGGGTGCCCCCAACACCTAGAACTTTGCTGGGCACGCTTTGTAGCTCCCATTGTGACAGCCATTTTTGTGGAGAAATGACCATCATGTCTGCCCCCATGTCCATCATCCCTCGTAACTGGATGGAATGCCTCCCACTTTTAAGGTCACACCATACAAGGGGCTTGTCCTCTCCCAGCACTTCGGTAAAATAAATGGAAAGGTTCAGGTCATTGCTGATTGCATAGGGCACTGGAATGGCCTGCGCAATGCCTTGGCCCTCCAGCAGGAAGAGGAGGGGATGGACACAGCGTGCCATGAGACTGAAGTTCTCGGGATCAAGTGACGGGATCCCTGGGGCGATTTCAATCTTAAGGGGAGTGTGCCTGGTGTCCCCAGCAGCAAGGTACTTGCAGTTTAAAGATGGGGAGTGCTTATAAGTCTCCACCTGATAGATGTGAGGGAGAAGTCCAGGTGCAGCAGTGACTACTTGCCAGGCCTGATCAGGAAAGAAAACAGGATTAGTTAGTCTCAGCCAGTAAGGTTTTCTTCTATCTGGGGTTATTACTTGAGCGCTGGCACTATTGTCAGCGACCCTCCCCCCACCCCGCCCATGGGCTGCCCTATTTTTATTGATGCACAGGGCAGACGCACACTCTGTATTTAGTTTTTTGTGTCTGGGAAGCTTCCCCGTCCCCTGCCCCTCCCCTCCCTGGAGGCACCCTTCCTTCGAAGAGGCATTGACTTATAAAATGTCCTTGATGGCAGTGGAAGCATCTCCTCCTAGGTGGTTGATTCCCTCAGGTAGAGGCTGCTGGAGCTGCTGTCTGTTCCCACAAGGCTGGTTTCCTTGGGGTGTCTTCTACAGTGTTTTCCCGCAAGGCTGGTTTCCTTGGGGTGTCTTCTACAGTGTTTATGGCTTTCTTGGTACACTTCTCTATAAGCTGGTCTAGGGTGCAAGTTGGAGTTGAAGGGAGTGACAGGATGACTTTTCTACAAGCTTCGTTTGCATTGCTGGAGACTATTTCTAGTATGAACTGTTCTTGTATCTCTAGGTTTTTTACTCTCTTTTCTACAGGAGCACAAACCCATTCAACAAAGTCCATAAATGCCTCTGAAAAAAAGACTGCTTAATAAAAATACAGGGTTGGATTGGTTCTTTGGATGGCATGGTCAAGAAAGCTTTCTCTGCAGCATCTTTAACTTGATCTAGAACTATTTTTGGAATTCTCCCCAGCCTATTTCCGCACCTGCTACCAGTCACCCTCACTGACCAGATGATAAAAGGTGATATCATTCTCATCTCAATCAGTGGAACATTCAGAATTCTGCAAAATCTGTGGAAGAAGGTCTCCCACTAATCTTTTCCACGTTCACTCCCATAATTTATATTCGGATGATGTGATCAAGCAATTAAAAAGCCTTTTTAAATCTGCAGGAACCAGCATGTATGAAGTAAATATTGCTTTTAAAAGATTCCTAAAAACTCGCTTTTCTGGCTGAATTCACGCTATGTTCTGCAAAGTTCTTTGATGCTGATACGACAGTAGTTCCCACCTGGGGTGGTCTCCCCTTGCATTATAAGTGACTTGGGCTAGGAAAGGTGAGTTGTTATTTTCCACCGCTTCCAGTCTCCCTGGCACTGCACGCCCAGTCCTCCTGTTACTGTGAGAACCAGAAGCCAGAGCGTGGGAAACGGGAGGGTGGTGGGTGGAAACCTGGACGGAGGCAGCCGAGGAGAAGGAGGAGGGGACTGGTGATGTCACATCAATGAGAGGAGCAGTGGGTGGAACCATGGGTGGGGTGACACTTCCCCCCCCCTCTCCCCCGCAAAGGAGGAGGAGGGACCCAGGGAGAGGGGAGGATCAAGAGTCTGGGTGGGAAGAGAGAGAAAGGGGTTCTAGAAAGAAGCATCTGCCACGAGGCTGAAGCTTTTTTGTGGTGCTTCGGTGGGATGAGAGAAAGAACCATCCTGAAACTGAGAACTAGGATTTCTAATAGGGATAAAGGGATTGGATTGAGGGATCAGGGTGAGGTCCCTGAGAGTGTGGCCATCACTGTTAGAGCAGGGGTTCCAAGGGGACCTGGGGGAGCCAGGGAGATGGTGGCAACCCTGCATCTTCTGAGGATGGGCTGCTCCCCTCTGTCCACCCACTCTGAGGGAAGGGAATGGGAGAAGAAAGTGGGGAAGAGGTGTTTCTGGAGAAAACCAGGGGTAAACTCGCAGTTTGTTTTTTAACTCCATATTCTTTCACTTTTAACACATCCCAAATCAACAGAAATAATTGCAAAATCCCTCTTTAATGGAGGAGTCACCTCTCTTTGTTAAATCACTCAATTTAGCACCTACTTGTTTCCAAAACACAAAATTTTGGACATTTTGTGAAGCAACATTTGGAAAATTAAAAAACAACCACCTCGTGAACCTTTTAACAATGCCTTTTGAAAACACAAGACCCACCTCTCCCAGGTACTCTGTAACTTGGTAATAAACTTCCCTTTGTTGGGTAGACAGCCTGGTGCCCATCCTGTCTGCCTAGCTTAGCTTTCAACCACCCTCTGCAGGAAAAAGGAGAGAAAATAAAAGAGTCCTGAAACCCAATGGGGACGAACTGAGCATGCCATGCGTTGTGTGTCCCCTTGCCTTGGGAAACAGTTGTCCACCCCCCGAGCCCCTGGCCGGGTCCCTCTCAGACCCTCAGAGAACTCGCCAAACCATCGACTTCAGGAAACAGAGCTGCAAAAGTGGTCCTTGGTCGCAGAGACACCTTCCCAGATGCTGACAAGAAAGCTACGTCTCTTTCCTCTGGGAGCACCGCTGACGGAGTGTGCTCACATGGAGGCGATGGCAGAGCATGGTTTATAAATGCAGAGGCATATTTACCTGCAGTACAGCCTGTCCGTCGGGTTTCTTCACACGGAAACTGTGGCACCACTTCCCACCAACACTTCTTCTCAGCGAAAGCGCAGCGCTGCTCCCTGCCACCACTTCTTTGCAGTGAAAGCGTGGCACCGCTTTTTGCCACCGCTTCTGCACCATGGCAACATGCAGCGCCAATGGTGGCAATCCTTTCAGCAGTGAAAATGCATGGAGAAAGCCTTGAGGCAACAAAGAAGCCTTAGTGTTGGTGTGCCACCTGTGCCTGGCTCTCAGCAGCCACGGGATGGAGGTTCACCGGCTGGCTGTCCCACGAGTGGCCGGAGGGCAGACACACGTGTGGCCACCCCGAGTCTCTGCTGAGACTGCTGGCGGTGATTGCTGCGGCGCGGGGAGCACAGCAGCAATCACCTCCTGCTGTGGATGCATGAGGAAACCGAGGCAAAGGAATAAGGGAAGGACACTTGTCTGAATCTCCAAATCTTTAATGACGAAGTCAGGGCAGAACAAGTGAGCTGAATCTGAATCTGAACAGGCTACTTTTATAGGGTAGAGGGAACATGG